GGCTACTGCGACTACTACGACGACTACTACTAATACTACTACTACTACTACAACTACCACCACCATTATTACTACTACTACTACTACTACGACTGCTACTACTACTACTACTACGACAACTACTACTACTACTACTACTACTACTACTACTACTACTACTACAGCTACTGCTAGTGCTAGTGCTAGTGCTACTGCTACTGTTACTGCTACTGCTACTACTACTACTGCTACTACTACTACTACTATTACTACTACTACTACTACTACTACTACTACTACTACTACTACTACTACTACTACTCCTTCTACTGTTACGACTACGGTTACGACTACTACTACTACTACTACTACTACTACTACTACTACTACTACTACGACTACTGCGACTGCTGCTACTACTACTACTACTTTACTACTACTACTACTACTTCTAACTACTACTTTATACAACTACCAACTATTTTCACTACTACTACTGACTACTACTACTTACGACTACTTACTACTACTCTACTTTGATACTACTACACTACTACCCTTGCTACTTCTATACTTTACTTACTACTACTACTACTACTTCTACTTACTATTACTATTACTACTACTAATGTACGACTACTACTACTACTACTACTGCTTGCTAATGTTACTATACTATCTCCTACTCTACTCTACTTACTACTACTACGACTTATACTACGACTACTACTTATACTACTACTACTGACTACTACTACTACCACGCACTATACTACTACTATACTACTACTACTTCTTCTACTACTTTACTACTTACATTTTACTACTACTACTACTACTACTATTCTCTCTTACTACGCCTCCTCATCCCCTCCTTCACCCTCCTCCTCACATCCTCTTTCTCTCCCGTCCTCCTCCTCCCACCTACCTTTCTGCTCCTCCTGCTCTCCTTCTCCGACCTCCTTCTCCGCCTCCTCCTCCTCCTCCTCCTCCTCCTTCTCCTCCTCGCTACAAGGCCATTGTGCCGTACATCCTTCCACCTCCGAGGCCTCCCCCCTCGTCGCTCATGCTCCCTTCCCTCCTCCGCCTTCCACACTGCCCCCGCCCCCCCTAGCACATCCCTTTTCCCCTGGCCCCGAATCTCGACGGCGACTGCCTGACCGCCCCCCCCCGCCCTGGCTCCCTAGGGGCCCGCTCGACGCTCAGGGCCACGGCCAGCTTCTCCAGCCTCCGCAAGAACCTCGCGCGCGCGCCCGATACTTCGCCGAGAGCACCACCCTCGCGATCTCCCCCGCGCCTACCGCTCTTGCTCAGGCGCTCGACGAGGCGCGGCTGATGGAGCTCATCCGAGGGCCTGGAAGCTACCGGGAACTCCGAGGGCCTCCGAGTTCTTTTCCGCCTCCCCTTCATGCGGCCGTCGCCCGTCGTGAAACCTCGCCAGCCTTGCCGCAGCCCCTCCCCCTCCCCCTCCTCCTCCTCCTCCTCCTCCTGCTCCTCCTCCTCCTCCTCATCCTCCTCCTCCTCCTCCTCCTCCTTCCTGCTCCTCCTCCTCCTCCTCCCCAAAATCCACCTGTTCATCCTGAGCCGTGTACTTAGCGGTCCCCGGGCCCGGCCAAGGCCCCCAGAGGCCAGCAACGGCGAAAGGACTCGACGCGCAGAACCCCGTGATGGCATTTCATTTCCTGGCACGCCCCGCTGTGAGCGTCTGAGTGGGAGAGTCCTGGCCTGTGGCGACTCGGCGCTCCCTGGAGGCTCCCCCTTGGGGGTCCCGAGTGATGTGCCTGCTACGTCGCGGTGATCATGGGGCTCGGAGCAGAATGGGCATGGGGACACAATTTGTCCGTCGGCGGCGAGGCAGGCCTCGTTCCACCAGCGAAAGAGCTGGACGGGGGGCGCCGCAAAGCGAATTGGCCAGCGTGCAAGGGGCCCGGGGACCGGCAATTCGATCTAGGCGTCCCCCATGATCTGACCGCGAGCGGGCCAGTGCAGCATCCCCTGGCGGCTTCTCCCTTGGGGCGCCCAGGCGCTTCGCATCTGAAGATGAAAGGTTTGGGCGTGGTGCGTCCGCGTGTGAGTGAGTCCGACTGTGAGCGAGTCTGAGCGTGAGTGAGCCTGAGCGCGGTTGAGTCTGAGTATGAGTGTGGGCGGGTCTGAGCGCGGGTGAGCCCGAGCGTGACTGGGCAGCGCGTGAGTGGTCTTGCGTGCGTGAGTCGGAGTAGTACTCGTCGGAGTCTGCGTGAAGCTGAACGTGAGCATGGGGAAACAGGCGGGAAAAAGAAGGGGGAGGAGGGAAGGTATGCCAATCGAGCGAGCCGCTCGAAACAGCCCCACAACCTGCGCGCGAGCGCGCAAGTCCAGTACCCTCGGCGGCTCCTCCCGGGGGTGCACCAAAGCCACGCCTGCTACGTCGCGAGGATCATGAGGTCATGAGGGTCTAGGCAGAAACGATGATGGACCGGGGGGGAGAAAGCAAACCGCCTGAGACGTCCCTACCATCTGCGAGCGGACGGTCAAGTGTCATATCCCCTGGCGGCTCCTCCTTGGGGGCCCAAATGCCGCGCCTGCAACATCGCAGTGGTCATGGGGCTCTCCAGAGCAAAGCAATTCAGGGGACAACAAGCAGCACATCGCCTGAGACATCCCCCACATTCTGGGCGCGAACGGGCGAGTGCCCTGCCCCCCGGCGGCTCTCCTACTTGGGGCGCCCGAGTGCCACGCCTGCTGCGTCACGACGTATTTAGCAACGGGTCTGGAGATGACGGAGTGGGGTGTGAGTGCGAGTATGACCCGGTGGGTCTGTGTGCGAGTGAGCCCGAGTGTGAGTGGGTCTCAGTGCGAGTGAGTCTGAGTGTGGGTGGGTCTGAGTGTGGATGGGTGTGGGGGCAGTCTGAGTGTGAGTGAGTCTGAGTGTGAACGAGACTGAGTGCGAGTCACCTGAGGCATGAGTGACTGAGTCTGATGAACAACGCAACGCAGAGGAACGACGAGGAAGCGGGAGGCGGGAGGTGAGGAGGAAGAGCAGACGGAGGCATCACAACAAAATTAGCCTGACGAAGGACCCAACCATGTGCAGCTGCGAGTGCCGCGAGGGAGATGAGACGAAGGAGGGGGGCGCGCAAACTCTGAGTAACGCACGCGGTATAGCCTTCTGCCACGAAAAGTGTGAAGGGTGTGCCGACATGAGTCGGGAGGATTCCTGCGGACATCGCCATTGGGGCCGTCCGTGGAGTTCCATATGGGGCGGCCGTGCCATGCGAAGTTTCCCACTGAGGCCTTCGGTGGAGCTCCCTATGGGGCCACGAAACGTGCGAAAGGCATGCCAAAATGGAGCGGCGGTGCCATGCGGACGCTCCCGCTGGGGCCTTCGGTGGAGCTCCCTCTGGGGCCACGAACCGTGAGAGGGGTGCGCCGACATGGGGCAGCGGTGCCATGCGGACGCACCCCTGGGGCCTTCGGTGGAGCTCCCTACTGGCGCCAAGAAACGTGTGAGGGGTGTACCGAAATGGGGCGGAAATGCCATGTGGACGCTCCCGCTGGGGCCTTCGGCGGAACTCCCTGCGGGGCCACGAACCGTGTGAGGGGCGTGCCAACATTGGGCGGAAATGTCATGCGGACATTCCCGCTGGAGCCTTCGGTGAAGCTCCCTATGGGGCCACGAACCGTGCGAAAGGGTTGTGCCAAAATGGGGCAGCGGTGCCGTGCGGACACTCCCGCTGGGGCCTTCAGAGGAGGGCTCCCTCTGGGGCCACTAACCGTTTGAAGGAAGTGCCAAATCCGCCGATCCAGCGTGTGAGTTTCTGAGAGCGTGGGGCTTGAGCTCGCTCAGGCTTCGCTCTGTTGGGGGGGGGGAGGCTGACGCCATGCAGGCCTGACCGGGACGGGGGGGGAGCGGGCTGACGCCATTCAGGCCCAGGAGGAAGGAGGGGAGGGGGAGCTGACGCCATTCAGGCCCGGGAGAGAGGAGGGGGGGGGGGGGATCGCTCTGTCGGTGGGCGGGGGGGGCTGACGCCATTCAGGCCCAGGGGGGAGGGGTCTGACGCCATTCAGGCCCGGGAGGGAGGAGGGCGGGGGGATGCTTCGCTCTGTCGGAAGGGGGGGGGGAGGGGGGGCTGACGCCATTCAGGCCACAGAGGGAGGAGGACGGGGGGGGGAGCTGACGCGCCATTCAGGCCCGGGAAAGAAGAGGGGGGGAGGGGGCTGACGCCATTCAGGCCCCGGAGGGAGGATGTCGGAAGGGGGGGGGGGGCTGACGCCGTGGGTGACGCCATTCAGGCCCGGGAAGAGGGAAGGGGGGAGGGAGCTCGCTCAAGCTTGGGCTGACGCCATAGCTGACGCCATTCAGGCCCAGGAGGGGGGAGGGGTGTGGGAGGAGATTCAGGCCCAGGAGGAGGGAGTCGGGGGGGGGAGCTGACGCCGTGGCTGACGCCATTCAGACACCGGAGGGGGGAGGGGGGGGGAGCTCGCTCAAGCTTCGCTCTGTCCGGGGGGGAGGCGGCTGACGCCACAGCTGACGCCATTCAGGCCCAGGAGGGGGGAGGGGGGGGGGTGACGCCATGGCTGACGCCATTCAGGCCCGCGAGGGAGGAGTCGGGGAGCAGGGGGGGGAAGGCTGACGCCATGGCTGACGCCATTCAGGCCCGGGAGGGCTTCACTCTGTCGGGGGAGGGCTGACGCTATGGCTGACGCCATCCAGGCTCCGGAGAGGAGAGGGGGGGAGGGAGGGGGCTGACGCCATGGCTGACGCCATTCAGGCCCACAAGGTGGGAGGGGACATCCCATGAGTTTGGCTGTTCACGCGAAACCGTCATTTTCGAATATCCGAAGGTTGCCCAAGCGAGTTCAACCTCTCTATCATATGAGGATGTCTCGAGCGAGTGTTCTACGTTTAAACATAAAAGGTCATGGCCGGAGGCCACTACAATAGGGCGGCGGTGCCATGCGGACGCTCCCACTGGGGCCTTCGGTGGAGCTCCCTATGAGGCCACGACCCGTGTGAGGGGTGTGCCAAAATGGGGCGGCGGTGCCATGCGGACGCTCCCGCTGGGGCCTTCGGTGGAGCTCCCTACGGGGCCACGAAACGTGCGAAAGGCATGCCAAAATGAAGTTGCGGAGCCATGCGGACGCTCCCGCTGTGGCCTTCGGTGGAGCTCCCCACGGCGCCACGAACCGTGTGAGGGGTGTGCCAAAATGGGGCGGCGGTGCCGTGCGGACACTCCCGCTGGGGCCTTTGGTGGAAATGGCGCGGCGGTGACGCATGCAACCGCTCCCACTGGGGCCTTCGGTGGATCTCCCTGTGGTGCCACGAACCGTGTGAGGGGCTCGGCGCTGGCGATGGCGATGATCATGATGATGTGGATCATGACGATGGCGATGATGATGACGATGATGACGATGACGATGACGAGGCGGATGAGAAGAGGGAGGAGGGGGAGGAGGAGGAGAGGAGAAGAGAGGAGACGAGGGGCGCTGTCTCTTCAAAACGAGGACCCAACACCACAACATGGCTGGGAATTGAGCCATGAGGAATAAGAGGCATCAAAATAAAATAAAAAATCCGGGCGAAGGACCCAGCCATATGCAATTGTGAGAACCATCGTTGTGAGTATCGCCTTCGCTGGAGCTCCTGATGGGGCCACGAAGCGTGTGAATGGTGTGCCGGAATGAGGCGGCGACGACATGCGGACCCTGGCATATGGACCTTCGCTGGAACTCCCTGTGAGGGCACGAAACGTGTGAGAGGCGTTCCGACATGATGCGACGACGCCATGAAGACCCTGGCATTAAGGCCTTCGCTAGAAATCCTTATACGGGCACGAAACGTACGAAGGGTGTGCCGAAATGAGGCGGCGACGCCATGCGGACTCTGGCATTTGGGCCTTAGTTGAAGCTCCCTAATCATGGGAGCACGAAACGTACCAGGGGTGAGCCGAAATCAGGCGACGACGCCATGCGGACCCTAGCATTTGGGCCTCAGTTGAAGTTCCCTCTGGGGCACGAAACGTGTGTGGGGGGGTGCTGAAATGAGGCGGCGACGCCATGCGGACCCTGACATGTGCGCCTTAGTTGGAGTTGACCCTGGTGCCACGAAACATGTGAGGGGGGGTGCTGAAATCAGGCGGCGACGTCATGTGGACACTGGCATTTGGGTTTTCGCTGGAGCTCCCTATGGGGACACGAAACGTGTGAGGGGTGTGCCGAAATGAGGCGGCGACGCCATGCGGACCCTGGCATTTGGGCCTTGGTTGGAGTTGCCTACGGGGACATGGAACGTGTGAGGGGGGGTGCTGAAATGAGGCGGCGACGTCATGTGGACCCTGGCATTTGAGTTTTCGCTGGAGCTCCAACACGCAACGTGTGAGGGGTGTGCCGAATCGAGGCGGCGACGCCATGCGGACCCTGGCATTTAGGCCTTCGTTGTAGCTCCCCATGGCGCCACGAAGCATGTGAGCGGGTGTGCCGAAATGCGGCGGCGACGCCATGCGGACCCTGACATGTGGGCCTTAGCTGGAGCTCCCTATGGGCCCACGAAACGTATGAGAGGTGTGCCAAAATGAGGCGGCGACGCCATGCGGACCCTGGCTGTTGAGCATTGGTTGGAGCTCCCGATTGGGGCACAAACTACAGAGGGCAGAGGCAGGGATGGGAGGAGAGGGGAGGAGGAGGAAGGACGCGGTGCTCTGTCTCTTCAAAACCAGGGCCCAACACCACAAATGGTTCGGAACAACAACAGACTCATCTTAGGACATGGGGAACAGATCCGCCACTCAGGCTAATCGTGAAGGCCGCTGGGGGGAACCAGAGACAATATGTCAGGAATGGGGTCAGATTTGGTCAAAATCGATCCCTGGCCCCCTTCTTGGGTGCATCTGGTGCAGCGTTTCGCCCCGGATCCGTCTGACGACAGGGCCCGAAAACGGTCCCGTGGGGAACCCCCCCAACGAAAACAACCTTCTCGATCCCAGAGTCTCGAACGTGGCCCCCCCCTCCTGCTCGCTGGAACAAGTGCTGGGCCACCTCAGACCCCCAGTTGACTCTAAGGCGAATCCGCCCGCCACACCCCTGACCGGCCCTGCCGCCACGCGCCTCTTGCACCCCGTGCGGCCCTTCTCGCTCCGCGTGTCCAGCCTGTCCCCGTCGCTCACGAGCTTCTCCCTCGCGGCGGCGAGCATCACCACAGACTGGAGCTCCTCGAGGCCGAAGTCTCCCGCGTCCTTGCCTGGGGGGCGCGGAGGACTGTTTTAGGAGGGTGTCACCTGTGCACCTGCACACCTACGTACACCGATTCGGGCCTGGGCCCAGGACCGGTGGATACGCTCTCCTGCCCGAGCCAGGAGGGCGCATACACCGATCTTGGGCGCAGGATGGGCCAGGATCAGTGCAGGTGTATCGGGAGCGGCCAAGAGGGGGGTGTCCAAGAGGGGGGGGTGCAAATCATGACCGGCGGCATGTGCGCGGCCCAGCGGGGGGGCCATGGACGTAATGAAATAGAAAGAGGCGCCATGAAATCTGGGGAAATATCATGACCCCCGCCATGATATCCACCCCCCCCTAGTCATCACCCCCCTCTTTTCCGCCCCCGAGTGTATAGCCGGTTCCCTCCGGGCCCCCGCAAGCCCACAAGCAGGCCCAGACCCTGGTGCGCACCGGCCCCCGGCCAGCCAGGGAGCCGTCGCGGCGCCAGGACCCGGGCCCGCTTGTGGGCCCGCGGAGGCCCCGGCGGCAGCGCGGTGTAGCACACGCGCCTTTACGGTGCATCCTCGGGGGACCTCGCCTGTCCCATCGCGCCAGCCATCCATCCGTGTCGCATCCATCTCGAATCCATCTCGAGCGCGTCGAATCGGTGTCGAATCTGTGCAGGAGTCACGTCGAATCCGCGTCGGAGCACACTGCCATGCACAGCACAGGAAAAGCCCCCCGACGATGCAAAGTAACGTGTTTTCCCCCGCCCGGCTGGCCCAGCAAGCTGTGGGCCACGGCGGCGACGGGATCTGGAGAGCCTGGGCTGCAACGTCGACTCGGGGGTCGCTTCTAGACTCCCGTTTCGAGCTGCGCGAACTGCAGTCACCCGCCCCCTCCTTACCTTCCCCGTCCTTCTCCTCCCCTTCTTCCTTCTCCTCTTCCCTCCCCTCACCCCTCCACTCTGCAGTCCCCTCCTCCAGCCCATCCCCTCACCTCCCCTCTCTCCCTTTCCCTCCGCTCTTTCCCGTCTCTCCTTTCCCTCCTCCCTCCAGTCCTTCGCAGCCCGAATCTGCACGCCGCCACGCTTGTGCGCGCCGGCCACCGCCACTGTCGCTGTCGCCGTCACCCGAGTCGGTGGCCCCGACGATGGGGGGCGGTGGCAGTGCCGGAACGTGGCCGGAGTTTGGCAAGGCACGAAGCAGGAGGGTGCAACGCCGACTTGCCTGGCTGCTGCTCCAGGGGAGCAGGGCGGGCGGGGGCTCTGCGCAGGGGAGGCTGCGGCACCGCTCAGCAGTGTGCTGTTCACCGAGCCTGCAGGGTGGGACCATTCCTTCTTCTGTGTACTTCAACGTTGGCCTCGGCTTCAGCTGAGATGCACTTCGTAGCACATTCGGGCCCAGCTCACCCAGGACAATTCTCCTCTCGCACGGGTGCCTCCTTCCCTCCCCCTCCCATGCCTTCCCTTTCGCTGGTTCGCCTCATCTCGCCCGTCCCTCCCCTCCTCCCTCCCCTCCTCCTCCCCTCCTCCCTCTCCTCCTCCTCTCCTCCTCCCCCCCGTCCCTCCTCTTCCCTCTTTGCATGTCCTTCTCACTCATCATTCCCTCCTCCCTCCCCTCCTCCCTGCCCCCACCCCCCATTCCCCCGCCGTTCTCTCCGCGCTCCCGCTCTGCCCTCCACCCCACCATCCCTCCCTCCCTCCAGAGAGAAGGGTCTCCAGGAGGCACGCCGAGAGCCAGTCGACTCAGAGGGAGTCCGACGCTGGTCCAGGCCGTACGCTCCTCTCGCCGCTCATCGTGCCCCCTGCCATTGATCCCTTTCTCCCGTACAAAGTAGGCCCGTCCACAGGAAACCTTCAACAAGAAACCCAACCCTGAGACCCCAGGACGTCCATCGAATTTTGGTGTGGGGACATCACGCTTCCCATGGCAAAACCATCGAAACCCAAGAAACCCAGGGCACCCCTGGAGGCAAGCAGGGTGTTTCTTGGCATGGGTCTCCACTGTAGCCATTTTGGGTCCAGCCGTTTTGGCTCAAGGGAGGAATTTCTGTGTGTGGCATCGGGGTGCCGAGGGGGCCCGCGTCCGCCCCGCCTTCCCTCTCCAGGCACCAGCGGCACGCCCCATGCCAACCACGTAGCACCGTGGACACAAAGACATCTCGCTGCCGCGCAGCGAGGCGTGCGCACCGTCTTCGCGTTGACAGCGCTCCCACGGGACAGCAGTCGAGCTTTGACGCACAGAACCGTTCGAAAAAAACATATTGAAATCGAACATCCGACGACCACGGTAATTTGCAAAGAAAACTGGAGTATACCCTTACAGAGCCTCCAGACGCGTGGTTAGGACACCAACATCGAACAGCAGGTGACAACCAACGAGGAGCCAGTGGAATCACTGGCCATGTTGACCATAACTGTCACAGTGGTTGGGCAACCACGTGGGCAGGGAAAGCGGAGGGGGAGGGGAAGATTCTGTTTCACACCTCCAGAAATGTGCTCAGCAACCACAATGCGCGTGATAACCAACTCTCTGCAACTTGATTTTGTGACACCCGCGGGATTAGTCTTTCCCGGTCTCCAAGCCATGGCTCGCTCAACTCCTTCGTCCTCAAGTTCCCTCCACCCCCTTCCTTCAACTAGCGAGTCAGCGTAAATGGTGTCCGCATGAGATTTTGGTGTGAAGGTGTGTTGGGGGGGACGCGTGCGTGGGGGGGGGGTCGGTCCATCTTATGTTCGTCGTCCACTCCTCCACTGCGGGACAAGCTTGCCCCGGTCTCCAACACTTCCCGTCCACCTCAGCCTAAAATACCCCCAAAATATTCAAAAATCCGCCGATCCGGCGCGTGAACTACAGGGAGCCTCAGCAAGAGCTTCAGCTCTGAGCCTACGGAAGAGCTTCACCTCTGCTTGGGAGGGGTCGCCGGGGTGGCTCTGCCGGGGAAGGGGGGAGGGGGGGGTCCTCCATCTGGCGTTTTCTTAATGATCTGCGCATCCCCAAGATGTCTCGGGAGGTGCCAGGGCCCCCCCCCCCCCAGGACTCTCCCCGCGGAACCCTGCCCGGACACCCCCAGGGAAGAGGAGGGGGGGGGGGGGGGGGGGGGGGGGCGGTCCCCCATCTGGCGTTTTCTTCATGATTTGCGCATCCCCAACATGTTTCGGGGGGTCCCAGGGACCCCCTCAGATCTAGCCGCTACCGCCCCCAGGACCCTCCCCTCGGAACCCTCCCCAGACTCCCCCGGGACCGCTCCAGGCACCCCCCCAGAGAGCACGTCAGCTCCAAAAAGCGTCCTTGACGCCTCCAAGAGCGCTCCCCCTCCCAAACAGCGTCCCCGACGACTCCAAGATCACCAAATCCAGAGCACCCGGATCGGCGGCACTGGCTGGAGGCCATTACAATAGTAAAAAAATACTCCAAAAATCGTCCCCATATTATTCTGTTGAACTATGTTTGAGTTGACCTCCTGTAGAGGGACAGGCCCGACTCAAGTCTGCCTTCACCTCCCTCTTGAGCGTAGATTGCGCCAGGCAGGCGCAGCTCCCAGAGGAGGTGAGGGGCAGGACGCGTGCGTAGAGCATCGGCAGAAAGAGTGTTCCTCGGAAACTCCTGCACTGGCAGGGCCAAGGTAGGCCAGAACTGGTGGTTAGCAACCGCAGTGTGCGTGAGAGCCCACGCGTTGTAGTCTGGGAGGCGTCCGTGGGATTCATCCTCCCCGGCTTGCAGATTCGTGCTCTGGAACATCGCAATGCCCCATGGGCAACATAGGTCACAACGATCATACCGCGTTCCGTCGTAACGCCTTCTGGCACGCGGAAATAGCTTTCAATTCATATGCAATTTCGCTCAGACTAGCTCCATGCACAAAGTCACGGGTCAGCGCTGACCCAAGCAACCAAGGACATTCTGCCGTGTTTGTCGTAACGGCGCTCGCTGCTACCGCAATTCAGCCTTCGTGGGTGGGAAGTATTAGTTCTCTTCCCGTCATCCTCAGTCTGAGGTCAATGCAGCGGTTGGCACCCAATGTCAGCTGCGAAAGCCGATTGGCATCTCCTAGACTATCTTGACATCCGGCCTGGCCGATGCAAGAAAGTCCAACCCTGCAGGCCGGCGACAGGGAGGCTCCTCTGTCTCAGGAAATGGGGGGGGGGGAAGGCATCGAAGAAGTTGGATACACGCAAGTCTGATGGCCAGCTAAGAGGCTAGCACATTCAACGTCGATGCCGGTCAAACCTCTCAAACATTCACAATAAGAGAGGAGTGGTTATTTCGGGAGGGAGGTCTGACACGAGCTGCCCTGGAGAGTTCCGATGGGGTCTGGGCGAAAGGCCGCCCTTTCATGGCCGGTCTGGGGGGGGGTCTAACATTGCCCGTCTGGGATGGTTGTGACCCCCTCCTCCTCCTCCCTTGGATTACGAGATCTGGAGTAAGCGTGGATTGCGAATGGACCCCTGACACAGCGTGGCATCTTTTTTGTTCTCGGGGGGGCCCAGGCCATGCCCCGAGGTACATACCCCTCCAAACAAAAAAGTACTGGCACCCCTGAGGAACCCAGGGCCCCCATTTCCTCCCTCCCTCCGACGCTATGCCTCCTTCCTCCCCCCTTCCACTCCTCCCTCCCACCTAATACAAAGTCTTTGTACCCCTGGGGCCCAGGGCCCCCATTGCCTCCCTCCCTCATTCGCTATGCCTCCTCCCTCCCCACATACTACAAAGTCTTGGTACCCCTGGAGCCCAGGGCCAGTATTTCCTCCCTCATTCATTCGCTATGCCTCCTCCCATCCACTCCTCCCTCCACTCTAATACAACGTAGAAGTACCCCTGAAACCCAGGGCCCCTTGTTCTTCCCTCCTACACTCGCTATGACTCCTGCCTCACCCCTCTACTCCTCCCTCGGAGCAAGGATCGTTGGAGCCGGATCGGCATCGGCAACGCAAGTGGACCCCAAGGGCCAGATGCTGGCTGACTCTTATGTTCTTTCTCCTAGTTTACCCCTACCACTCCTCCTCCTGATCCTCCTCATATCTATGATCTTCATCCGCCCTACTATACTGCTCACGCCACTGGTGTAACTCCTATTCGAACTGCACCCGCAACAGCCACCGTTGTTCATCCCTGTACTTCCCATGCATCCCTCGTTCTCCTCGTCGTCCCCACTGTTAGTATGTCCTTCTCCTTATACACGTAGCCACCATGTCCGCAGCCTCAGATTCGTCCTCCGTGTCCGCAACTTCCGTACACTCCTCTTATCATGTTGTCCCTCCTCATCATCATCCTGACTGCCTCCCTATTTCCCTCCCTCCTCTCCGCTCTACGTCTGGCCCCATCGCCTGGTTCCCCTGGTGGTGTTGATTCCGATGTTGTTGCTCCTCCTTCCTAAATGCTCCCCGAGCCTCCTAGCCCTTCTGATCCTCATGCTCATCTTGGCGGCGAGCCTGGCAGGGAAGTGAGAAGGGCCGGGCATCCTCAGCTCCGAAGTCAACCGGCCTTATGAGAAGTTTTCTGAGCCTTCAACTAAGATGCAGAACATCTCTGAAAGGCCAAGGCCTTCTGGGAAGCCCCGCAGCCTTCTGAGAAGGCCTTCTCATTCCCCCCCCCCTCGTTCGCCGCAGATCATCTCCCTGTTCCTGCTCCTCCTCATCCTCTTCCTCCTCTTCCTCAACCTCTTCCTCCTCCTCCTAGACCTCCTCGTGCACTTTCTCCTCCGCATGTCCTCTCCCCGTCTCCTACCTTCCGCCATCATTCTCGTACTCGTCGACCTCCTGCTCTTCCGAACCCGTCCGCATACTCAAACTGAGCTTTGTCCTCCTGCTCCTGCTTCTCCTCCTCCTCCTTCTTGCGCTGAGTAAAGTTGATCCACGGAGCTGGCGCGTCTTCTACCTGCTCCTCCTCCTTTTACCCCTCCCTCCCTCCCCATGCCTCCATCTCTTTCTCTCTCCCCCCCTCCTCTCCTCCATTCCCCACCCCCGTCCACCAAGCGTCCCTGAGGTAGGGGTCTCCTAAACACGCCAGAAACGGACTTGCCGATCAGGAGTATTGATGGTGATCGATTGTTGTGCCCGAAGCACCATTGATGGCGTCCATTGCAAAAGAGAGAAATACAAGGTGTAATCCAGTAATCGGTAGTCGATGTGACGTAAGTGAACTGGCTGGCAGAAGCGAAGGTTACTTTCTGCCAAGTGCAAGCTTCCGCAAATCGCGAGCCCGCACCAGGTTCGAGAAGCGCGGGGCAAACTCTTGCCCCTTGAGCCATACAGCGAACGACGCCGCAAGCTTCCCCCTCCCTGCCCTTCTGCAGCGCGGCGCGACGCGGGCACACGCTCTTCGTCAACGTTTTCCACATTCCTCTGCAGTACACTTCCAGCCCTACCCTGTCCCACCCCTTCCCCATCCTCGCTTGCCGCATATCTCCCCACTGGTTATCCTCCCCTACACTTACACCCCGTCCAACGCCACCGTTCGGCCATTCGATCGTTTTTGCGCGACCATGCGTTTTCCCCGACGCTCTCTCTCTCTCTCTCTCTTTCTTTCTCTTTCCCTCTCTCATATTTTCTGGGGGAGGGGGTGGGGAGGACAGAGCATCGGCGACTGCGAAAAGTGTGGATTGCAAGCGGTGTGGATTATAACACGCACCTTGGGGGACGGGCCTGGACATCGGACGAGGTATCCGCTGCGCCCCGAAACCCGACGAGGGCAACCTGGTGCCCCCCAAGCCCCAGCCGACGCAAATCGCAAACCACACCCTGGCGTGATCACCCCCCATTGCAGTCGAGAGGAACAGCACACGGCAGAAACATACTACTGTCAGAGGTCCGCGCGGATTCCTTGGATCCCGGCGGGACCCCCTGCCTGGCTAGCGGAGCGCGCCAGGGGCGGCGCAGGAGTAGAGGCCTCCTAGATGCGGTCGGAGTGGATGGGGTCGGAGAATCGCGCCGCATTGCCGATACCTCGTCGATTCGCCAGCGCTGCATCGGCTACGCACCGGCGATGCATTATCGACGTGGGCGATGCATCGGCGACGTCGACGCGAAGCACATCGGAGTCCACATCGCGCCGCATCGCCGATGTATCGTCGACGCGGCGCGATCCGCCGACCCCGTCTACTCGGGCCTCATATGGGAGGCTTAGAAGGAGGCGCCGCGAGGGGAGCCCATCGCTGGTCCGAGAAATCCGCGCGGAACGCGCCAGGGGCGGCGCGCACGACGAGGAGGAGCAGGAGGAGGAGGTGGAGGACGAGGAAAAAGAGGGCGACGGCGAAGAGGAAAGGGGGGACCAGTGCAAAAACCCACGAGCCATCAACGATGTTGGAATAAACCTCCCCTCCAAGCTCCCTCTTCATAGGCCCCCATAACGGTTCATTTCCATTGGGAAAACTGCCTCGTTGGAAGACAACTTTTTGAAGGCCCTGAAGCATGCGTAGCCGTTGCTCTCGGGATCCCAGCGCCACGGATCCACCTGACTGTTGCGTCCCGGCGATCCTAGATCGCGCCAGAGCGCCATTTCTGGGACTTCAACGCCGCGAATCGACGTCCCTGTCGCGCTCGCCTAATCCAGGGCCCTTCCAAAACTTGTTTTTTCCGGCACGCTGATCATGGGAGTCCGTAAAACTCTTGCACAATTCATAAACGCACGTGCGTAGCGCTAAGGCGAGAGCCACCATTTATATATATATATATAAATAAATAAATAAATAAATATAATTATATATAATATTATATATATATTTTTGAAAAAAAAAAAAAAAAAAAAAAAAAATCCGCCCTCGACCCGCGAAGCCTGTTGTCATTTCTTAAAACGAATGCGCGCGGCGCTAAAGCGATGACGCATTTTGAAAACCACTCGCCCTCAA